ATATTTTATAGCACTAATAAAGGATAGAAAGTTTTAAAAATAAATGTCATAAAAGAAGTATAGGACCTTAACAGGGAACATCAAAAAATTTTAAGGGAAAACACTTAAGACCCAATACATAGAAAAACAATCCTTAATTACTTTCTTTAGTGTCATTTATCTGTTCCTCTATCTCCTTCATTTCCTGGAACTGGAATTTACAACTTAAGCCTTGGTATATTCAAGTTAAATATTTTTAGCTAGTTTACATCGCAGGTGATATTATCTACTTTATATTTAATCACAGCAGGAAACATTTCTGGTTATCTCAGCATGAGTGAGGCTAAGAATAACCACTGAATTAGGGTGATTGACTTGATTGGAATGGTCTTCAGATTGTTATTACTTATCATTGATAATAAAATTTTTTATGGTCATTATAACATTTATAACAAAAGTAAAGAATCTAACAACAGTTTCCTTTTCCCATTGACATTGTAATCTATTTCTTTTGCTAATACAAATATACTTCAACTTCACTTGGACTTTTTCATATCATATATTTAATCAAATCATCTTTTCTAACTGAAGTGGTAAATCAGAGTAATAAAGTTCAGTTTGGCAAATATAACTGTAAAGTCGTGGCAATTTTTATAGTTTTTCTTATTGTGAAATATATCTTAGAAGAGAAATGTATAAAAAAAAAGAAATATACAGTACAAAGTAAAGACTAATAATAAAAAAAGAACTCTGTACCCACTACTCAGTTTTAGAAACAGAAACTTACTGGGGCTCCTGGGTGACTCAGTTGGTTGAGCGTCTGACTTCGGCTCAGGTCATGATCTCACAGTTCGTGGGTTCAATACCCACATCAGGCTCTGTGCTGACAGCTCAGAGCCTGGAGCCTGCTTCAAGTTCTGTGTCTTTCTCTCTCTTTCTCTGCCCCTCACCCACTCATGCTCTCTGTCTCCCTCTCAGAAATGAATAAACATTAAAAAAGAAAGAAAAAGAAACTTACTGGTATTGTTGAGATCTCATAAGCCCCTCCCCAGCTGTATCTCCTTCATCTATTACAGACTAGACCACTATATAGGATGGTGTTAATTTGTTCCATGCTTTTTTTTTTTAATGTTTGTTTATTTTTGAGAGAGACAGAGAGACAGAGTGTGAGGGGGGAAGGGGCAGAGAGAGAGGGAGGCACAGAATCTGAAGTGGGTTCCAGGCTCTGATCTGTCAGCAACAGAGCCCAATGCGGTGTTCGAACTCACGAATGGTGAGATCATGAACTGATGACCTGATGATGACCGGATGCTTAGCTGACTGAGCCACCCAGGTGCCCCTGTTCCATGCTTTTCTTTATCATTTTACCGCTTGTAAATTTATCTCAACATATTTTTTGCCTAGTTCTGTAATTTATGTAAATGAAGCCATTTCATCTGATTCTGTGATTTGCTATTTTCAGTTTTATTTTTTAGATCCATTATTATTAGTTTAGGTGTACTTCATTCATGTTCATTACTGTATTACATTTCATTGTATGAATGTACAAAGGTTTTTCATTCTTCTGTCATTGGGCTTTGGGGTTGCTTCCAGTTTCTTACTTGAATCAATAATGCTTCTGGGAATAGTTTGGTATGCCTGCTGGTACACACGTTGCTGGGTCATAGGGTTGTGTATTTTTAACTTAACTAGGTGCCAGATTATCTTCTGGAGCCATATATGCTCATCAAAACTGACAGTCAGACATGTTACTGTTTTCAGTCTTGTGGGTGAGAAATAATGTCTACTTAGAAAAACTTGCATTGCCCTTGTTACGAATGAAGGGAGCGCTGTCCTATGTTTGTGTACCGTCTGCCTTTCCCCTTCTGAGAGATATCTGCTCCTTGGGTTTTTCCTTAGTGATAGAGTTCTGCATATACTCCAGGATTCTGTGTCATTTTATGCATGATATCTATTTTCTGCCAGCTTGTGACATGTCCTTTCCTTTTTCTTGATGAATATAATTTCAGTTAAATGTGGTCTTTTCCTTTGCAGCTTCCCTGTATGTAGTTAATTAGGTTTTTTTTTTACAGTTCCAAGAAAAAGATCTCTGTCTTGACATTGTTTTTTTAAAAAGAAAAAAAGTCCCCACCCAAAAAGAGTTTGCTCTAGCTGTTAAAAATGTAATATAATTTTAGGCAATAATAAACAGATCTTTGGAAGTACTACTGCGCTCTATTTCATATATTGTCTGTATATTTCGGTGGCTATATAAACAAACCGGGGTGACCCTCCGGAAGTAGGGGGTGGGTCTGAAGACCAATAAAAGAACACAAGTTTAAAAGACATTGTAGCTGTGTACAAATATTTGAAGGCGTTATTACAGGAAAGAAAGAGAAAACCTAACTGAATAAAGGGTGAAAATTGCAAGGATACTTTCAGTTCGGTGTAAGGACAAGTTTGAGCTAAAACCACCAACAACGCAAGAGGTGGGGGCTCCCCTTCACTAAGCCATTCGAGCTTCGTCTACCTGTGAGTGAGATCTGAGTGAACGGTTGACCTGTTAATTTCTAAGATCTCTTCCAAAGCTGTCATTCTTTGGATATCTGCAGAATTTTTCCTTGTGTTTATATGTAAGAATACTATACATATTAAATATGTAATAATTAAAGCTTAGTAGCTTTGAGTTTTGGTGGTAAAACTATCATCTAGAATTTTCATATGAGACTAGAAATTTGGCCAGAGATGCCAGTGCAAACTATATTTTTTTGCAAATATCCCAAGGTTCTCATCTGTCCCTGGGATCAATAATTTACAATCAATAAAATTGAACACCTACACAAAGAATAATAAAGCTCAAAAACAAATAATAATGCTACAAATCAACAAAGTACAAAAGTGTGGGCAGATCTTGACTCCAAAAGATTTACAAACAGGCTTGAAGGAAGAGAAGAATTCTTAACACTGCAGTCATGTGGCCAAGGAAATTTTCATTCCAAGTATTTTCATTTTATCTTATTTTATTTTCATTTTTATTTGAGAGAGAGTGAGTGCAGGCAAGGGAGAGGGGAGAGGAAAAGAGAGAGAATCCCAAGTAGGCTCCACGCTCAGTGTGGAGCCTGATGTGGGACTCAGTCCCACGACTGTAAGATCATGACCTGAACCCATATCAAGATTTGGATGCTTAACACACTGAGCTACGCAGGCACCCCTCATTTAAAACATTTTTAAAACTCCTAAAAAAGATAGGGACTTTTCAAGATTTAGTGAAAGACACTTCCAAGCATAGAAAACAGTGTAGAAACTCGTATTGATGCCCAGATGATCTCACTAAAAACTATACCATTTAGCATACCTAGCTTAGCATATTAGCATTTAGCTTAGCCATGTGGGTGGGAATAAAAATAATAACAGAAATTTTTAAACTATAGGACGTGACTTATTAGTGGATTATGAACTCATTGAGTTGTGATCAGAATTTTTTTAATGAAATATAATTTTAAAATCAGAATGTTCTAGGATAGAAACTACCAGAGGGCATCATATATTATAAAGGTAAGTATGTTTCGTAGAACATCCTGGATCACAATGCAAAGTATCTTTCTGTGAGACACAGTCAAGTCAGAATGAAAGTTGCTAGCGTAGAAGGTAAGAGCTAGAATTTAGATTTTAGAGACTGCTTGGAGGTAAATTCCAGCTTTGCACTTTACTAACTTTGTGACCTTAGGAAAGCTACTTTTCCTTTCCTGTGCCTAATTTTTCTGTAAAAATAGTGATGATAATAGTGCCTACGGCCCTTAGAACAATGCCTGGGCAATTATAAATACTCAATTAATATTAGTCTGTTTCTTGGTTTGCCTGCCTCACATATGATGGAAGCCTACAAAAGTCTTTTTTAGACTCTTTCCCATTTTGTGAGGAGTCATTCGGACGCTGTGAGATAGCAACAAATCCACCTACCAGGGCACACATTACAGTTTAGTTACACTACAGGAAGTGAGGGAGCACTAATTAATGATACCAGTGCCAACCTGTCACTTGGAGAACCTGTACTGTCCTTCCAGGAGAGCTTTGTTTTACTATATGCAGTATATGACCGTCTACAAACCGTGCAAACTGACAAGGGCACCAGTGTCAACTGTATGTTACCGTAGTAAAGTTGAACTTCTAATTTTTAGATTATAAATTTAAATTGGAACTTAAGGGGCACGTGAGAGCCTCAGTTAAGCATCCGACTTTGGCTCAGGTCAGGATTTCACAGCTCATGGGTTCAATGCCTATGCTGGGCTCTGTGCTGACAGCCCAGAGCCTGGAGCCTGCTTCAGATCCTGTGTCTCCCTCTCTCTCTGCCCCTGCCCTGCTCACACTCTGTCTCTTAAAATAAATAAGCATAATTAATTAATTAATTAAACATTTTAAATAAATATTTTCAAGATAAACATTTAAAATAAATAAACTAAAAATAAATAACATTTAAAAAAATAAACATTTATTTAAAATAAGTAAGCATTTTAAATAAATAAATAGAAATTCTAGTAGGTTCTTCCTACACAGCAGTGATCTGTTTTGCATATCCCCCTGGCATTCTAGCACCACACCTCAGAGGTCACTGGTCTAAGCCATAAACTCAGAAGCAGAGATTTTGTTTAATTCATCATTGTAATTGTGTCGTGCATGGTACATATAGCAAGCTCAATAAGAGTTTTGTTTTTTTAAATATTTTTTTAATGTTTATTTTTCGGAGATAGGCAGAGCAGGAGAGGGGCATAGAGAGAGGGAGACACAGAATCTGAAGCAGGCTCCAGGCTCTGAGCTGTCAGCAGAGCCCGACGCGGGACTTGAACCCACAAAGCCCAGGATCGTGATCTGGGCCGAAGTAAGACACTCCACCAACTGAGCCACCCAGGTGCCGCTCAGTAAGAGGTTTCTGACTGCATGTATGAAACTTGAGGTTTTCTGTGATGTTTGAAGGTAACTCAGACATTTGTGCATATATACTATGTCCTTGTAAATTTTGACATTTTGCTGGCATTTGTTTTAAGATTCTACTGTTTTAAGAAGAAAACGAATTGCTGAAAATAAGCAGAGGCGTCTTTTAGAACAGAAAAGACAAAATTCTGGATCTGTGGGACAGAAGTACAATGAGCAAATGAATGTGAGTACAGAATTAGTAAAAATCTCAATTCTGTGGTGAAAAATTGCTTGGAAAACAATGTTCTCAAAGGACTGTGCTTTTGCTATAAACTGTGGACCACTACATAAATATAAGTATAGCCAAAGGCATTATGAGACAGCCTGGGAATCTATTCTAGGAACTTACTGTACTAGACTTATTTGCTATACTCTAATTTGCCTATATGATCAATTCCTAATGAAGCTTTTAAACCAACTTTAACAAATCACCATTCTTTTTTTTTAATTGTTTCTCTTTTTTTTTAGTGTTTGTTTATTATTGACAGAGAGAGAGAGAGAGAGAGAGAGAGACAGAGCATGAGTGGGGGAGGGGCAGAGAGAGAGGGAGACACAGAATCTGAAACAGGCTCCAGGCTTTGAGCTGTCAGCACAGAGCCCAACGCGGGGCTCGAACTCACGGACAGCGAGCTCATGACCTGAGCTGAAGTCAGACACTCAACCGACTGAGCCACCCAGGTGCCCCAACAAATCACCATTACTCTTTTATTTTGTTATTTATAGTCACCTCTGGATTACCAACATGTTTATTTACAACAAAGTTTTTAAATATACGTTAAAAAAGAAAAGTAAGTTAGAGCCCTGGATAGAGGAAGTATGTATGTTAATCATGAAGACTAATCTAGTTTCGTGTGTTTAAATATCCTCTTTGGATCTGAGCTTCCTGGAAGACATGGCAAAAGGAAAACAGGATGAGGGAGGTGTACAGTTCTCAGGAATTATTGATAATGATGCTGTTGGGGGTTCAGTACATTAAAAGACACTTCCCACTGAGGCTTTTCTGTAGGGCATGTTGAGTTCATAACAGATCTATTCCTATAAACAGTCAACAATGAATGAATAAGGAGTTTCATATGGCTGTTTGAGATAGAGATCTTCAGTAAAAGTCAAAAGGTTAATAACAGTAATTTTAAAATTAGTGGAGGTGATTCTGTGAGAGCAAAGTAAACAGAGGTCTAGAGGTCTTACTGATCCAAGGATTGAATTTAAAATATTAAAACATCTAGATGGGTGAGTAAATCGCATTTCACTTGGAATTTCTACTTTAAATACCACTTCTTTTGATTTTTTAATAGAACTGGAATAGATTGCCTTATGAAGAATTTATATCCGAGTTATGAGTTGAGGATTCTATTGTTTGTATATCATAAGAACTATTAATTTTTTATATGGATAAGATTTTTAATATGAAGAAAACCACGAGATATTCTTAATGGCAAGACAAAAGTCATGTAGTTGTATGTATCGTGTGAATAAAGCTGCCCCGCTACCGACATACTCTTACTGCTTCATAACATAGTGCTCACTCACAGACATAACTTACTGATTACAAATACAATAATGCCTCCTAAGTCCTTCCTTTTTAACCTCCACATTGTTCACATCAAACATCTCAAAATCTGTCAAGTGAACAATTTTTTTCTTTATTTTTATTAATATATTTTAAATTCTAAAGCAATAGGTACTTGTTCTAACCAAAAAACAAAGTTTTAAGTGCTTGTGATTAGTGCCCTCTCCAAATTCTTTTTATTTTTCTGGGTCTTATTCTGTCCCATGTGTTCTCCCTCTGCACTCGGTCTTACTGTTTTTAGAGTCTGTTTTTGCTTTTGTTTCCAGAAGCCTCACTCCCATCTTTACACACATCTTCCATTCACACGGCTGTTTAAACATCTTCCAGAGTCTTAGCGTTAGAATAGGTGAATCAAAATCAAGTTTTGAAGTTTAACTTTCTCATCCCTTTTGTTTTGTTTTGATTTTTGTTTTTTTGTTTTGCTTTCTAACTAAGGATCCTACTACACAGGGGTTCAGTCATCCAGCAGTGCCCACCACGCCCCCACAACCAGTCACCATGTACTGGGAAACGTGCTTTATCCAACTGGATCTGCCCAGCCCACCACTTCCACATGGAAAGCACCTGAAAGAGACCAGTGAAAGCTAGAAAAGGCAGAGATGCCACTTGGTGCCTGGACTGGGTCAGTCCAGTGAGCCTCCCATCTGCGGTGGAGGCCAGGCGAGGCCGCCCAGGCCATGAAAGGAGGGCTCTTGCGCAAACCTGCGCCAGCGGCTGTTTGGATCGGGCCGAGCACAGGCCCGGGGTGGGGAGTGGCAGCCAGGCCCTGTCCTGTGTGAGAGGCAGTCCCTGCCCACTGCGGGGCATTTTGGGGTCCTTCCGGGCCGGAGAGCCGAGCGGTGCACCAGCGGCCAGTGCTGTGTGAGCTCCGGCATGGCCATTCCGAGCCGGACACCTGTCCCAGACATCAGTCACCTGCGGCCGCCCCGCCCTTGCAACGACAAACGGAGGTTAGAAGCCTCAAGGGAAATGTTTGCTGTTCCTTTAGGCAGCACCTTACTTCCCTCTTCCAAGCATCCACGACAACACAGCAACCTGAAATTTTTTCAAAGTTGACATAAAATACATATTTTTTAATATTCAGGTACCCTAGAAAGGACTTATTCCAGTAATTCTTGATTTCTAATAAAAAAAAAAAAACCCTACAGGTTACATGAGCAGTGATAACCAAAAACATATAGAGTGAATATGGGTTTGTTTAATGTATAATAATGAATTTTTAATATGGAATTATGTTCTGATTTCATGTTATATTTTTATAGAATTTTGGACAAAGTGTCCAGCTAAGTTCAAGGGAGCCAAAACAAACAACAAGGGGTACTTCTGATGTTGAAGAAGGTATGTTTCGGTTTAAAATTTCTCTCTGAGCTTTGTTCCCCATGATTTCGTATTTTGTTACGTGTATTTTCCTAAGTGCACACATACCTGAGCGGTGAACCACCATGTGGGGGCTAAGCCGCTCTTGCCCTGCACATTCAGGCTGTTGCCAGGTTTTTTATTCTAAATAATAATGTACTGGATGGATGTGAGGACGATCTGGCTGCGACATCTGTCACCCCATTGATCACCAGGGTTGATTTGGCTGATCTGGCTGGCTAGGCGGGTGTCCCCTTCCTCCCTCACCAGTCCATGTGCGTCCCTTCCAAAGCTGAGCGCTGGGTCGAAGAGGACGACATTCCCCTATAGAGGAGGACCGTGCTTCCATCAAGGGTATACGATTAGCTGCGCTCCCCTGCTAGAACCTCCAAACTAGCTCTCAAGGTCCATTTGTAGGAAAACGTAGGGTAGTCTAGCTTCCAAGACTCCAGACACATCCACATGAGGCGCTGCAAGTGGCAGTTGCCTTTCTTTAAAAAAAAAAAAGAAAGAATAATAATAGTAATTAATAATAATAATGATGTTGATGACGATGATGTATTGGACATCTTTCTACATGAAGCTTTTTCCTCACTTTTCAACCATTTCCATGAGATGGAGATTCCCAGAATTAAAATTACACTATTTTCCATGTCATTGACATCCAATAAATACTTGCTGAGTGAAACTCTGTATTACATGAATACTGGATCAGAGGGAATAAGCATTGTTATAGCTGTACATATATATCCCTAAAATACTTTCCTGAAAAACATCATTTAAAACTTTTCTGGGATGTGAACCAACTTGAGGTGCAATTATTTCTATGATTTGCTTACATGATAGGCAAAGAAATTGTGTTTTATTGTTGATTTGTATTCCTTTTATTAATAACATGCTTCATTGTTTTGTATGTGTGTTAACTTGTAGTGATTTGGTCCTTCATACTCTTATTTCCTGTGGTACCGGAGCTCGGGTATTTCCTTAGTGATTCCTGCAAATTCCTTAAATGTCAGGAGTTCTTTTCTTCATATTAGTTGCAAATGTTTTTACTACTTTATTATTTGCTTTTTATTCCACTTATATGTTTACATATAGAAGTCTTCCTTTGCATTTTTTATTCAACAGATGATGGCTAATTTCCTGCATACAAGTAAAGATTGGATACACTGTAATGAACAAAATATATAAAAGTCTTGCCCTTCAAAAATTTAAAGTCTATTAGGGAAGACTGGCCTTTAAATAAACATGTTTTAGTCTTTTCTTAGTGATTTTTCCATTACTTTTAAGATCAAAGAACCTTTCCCATACAGAAATTCAGAAGCATTTATTTCTTTCTCCTCTAGATTGCTTTAATGGTGTGATTCATTAAATTAAATTCTTTAGTTACCTTTGATTTTGTTTAAACATATGATGTAATAGAAAACTGCAAATTGATTCTTGTAAAAGCAACAAACTAATTTCTTGAGTTATCTCTCCCTTCTCTCAAGACTCTGATGCTGCTTTGATAAGTTAAGTTCTTCGGTCTGATTGGGTCTTTTTTCTAAGCTGTCAGTTCAGTTCAGCTCATTAGCTCACTTTCTAACTTTTCCTTACTTTCCTTTTCTTTTACTCTTTTTTATCTTAATTGTTATTATAAAGACAATCTAGAAGTGCCTGGGTGGCTCAGTGAGTTAAGTGTAGGTCTCTTGGTTTCAGCTTAGGTCATGATCTCACAGTTCCAGAGTTTGAGCCCCATGTCGGTCTCTGCACTGACAGCTCGGAGCCTGCTTGGGATTCTCTCTCCCTGTCTCTCTGCCCTTACCCCTCCCAGGTGTGTACCCTCTGTTTCTGTTTCTCACGCTCAAAAAAAAAAAAAAAAAAAAAAAAAGACAATCTACTTCATCATCTCTTTGTACTACCAGTGAATAACAAAAACACAACACAGGAATAATCAATCTAAACATGCTGCATTTTTCCTTTAGCTCAGATAATGTGCCAGGAATGTTTATTGCCTCTCCATCACTTTGACTTTCTATGTTTTAATTAGGGATGGGAACATGCTAGATACGAATAATCTTGATAAATAAAATGCGAAGTAACAGAAGATTTAGAGGGTTTCTTTTTGTGAAGGGAATACATACAAGCACATGTCGGTTAAGTAGGTGTAAGAGAAAATCCCAAAGAGAAAAAAGGATCGAAGAGTAATTAATGTAAAGTTTCTGTAGTTTCAGATAGTACTTCTGAGTTTTTGATGGCTGAAAACCTAGTGAAAGCTTCAGTGCCTGAGGATGAAATTCTCACTGTCATAAATAGCAAGCAGCTACAGAAACCAAATCTGACTTCAAATAAGACCCCGCCGTTCAACATCTGTGCACTGTCAGCTGATGAACAGAAGATCCTACAGTCCCTCAGTCGTCTCAATGAGAGGCTGTCCTGTAAGTGTGGAAGATCACCTTTTATGAGAAATGTTACACTTCGTACTTAGATAATTGTAATTTAAAATTTATTTTAACTTAATAATTAGAAATAAGAATCCTCAAGATGGGTAGTCTCACAGAAAATCCTCCCTCCATAAAGTTGGGCCTCCCAAAGGGCTACACCCCACAGACACACACACACACACACACACACACACACACACACACACACGGGTGGAAAAGCATGTACGTCTTGAACTTCAGCATTGAGCCAGTGAGGGAGGAAAACAGGCAGGCTTTGTTCACCTCTCTGTGTCTGTGTGTGTGTCTGCGTAGGTTGTAGCCCTTGCGCTATGTTTTGTTAATAGCAGCCTCATACTAAAGGAAATGCTAAAGAATGCACTTTAGCAGACCAAAAGTAATTTCAGATGGACAGTCTGAGAGTGTAAATTTGAAAAAACATTGGATTAAATACTAAATGTAATAAAGTAGTGTGTGTTTCAAAGAAAAAAACATTACCATTAGAATGCCTACTAAAGGGAGCACCTGTGTGGCTCAGTCAGTTAAGCGTCCCACTCTGTTTTGGCTCAGGTCATGATTTCACGGTTCGTGAGATCGAGCCCCACATCGGGAATCTCTCTCTCCCTTTCTCCCTGCTGCTCTCCTACTCATGTGCTTGCTCTCTGTCTTAAAATAAATAAACATCTTTTAAAATGCCTTTTAAAAGTAATGCATAAGTTGGGAGAACATAAATGGTGTTAAGTTGCGCTGGGATTCTTCTTAAGGAATTTGGTGCAGATTAACTTTTTTCCATTCATATATAGTTACATACAGTGTTATATTAGTTCCAGGTGTGCAATATACTAATTCGACCATTATATACATTACTCAGTGCTCATCACAATAAGTGAACTCTTTTTTTTTTTAAGTTTATTTATTTATTTTGAGAGAGAGAACATGTGCACGTGGGGCAGAGAAAGAGAGAGAGAGAGAAAATCTCAAGGAGGCTCTGCACTGTCAGTGTGGAGCCCAACTCGGGGCTTGATCCCACAAACGATGAGATCATGGCCTGAGGCAAAGTCAAGGGTTGGATGCTCAGCCGACTGAGCCACCCAGGCACCCAATAAGGGAACTCTTAATCGGAACTCTTAAAGCTGAAAATAAAGAAGATAGAAAATATGTACCAAACAAATTCTAACCACAGGCAAATTGGTTTCAGTGTCTTATTATGAGACAAAATAGAAAACATTAAATTACATAAAAAAGATCATGATGACCAAAGTTTTAATTCAGGGATTAACCAAGAAATTAAAAAGGAAATTAAAAAGTACATAGAAGCCAATGAAAATGAAACCACGACAGTCCCAAACCTCTGGGACACAGAAAAGGCTGTCATAACAGGGAAGTATACAGCAACCCAGGCCTTCCTAAAGAAGGAAGAAAGGTCGCAGATACACAACCTAACCTTACACCTAAAACAGCTAGACAAAGAAGAGCAGACAAAGCCCAACACCAGCAGAAAAAGGGAAATAATAAAGATTAGAGCAAAATTCAATGATATTGAAATCATAAAAACAGAAGAACAGATCAATGAAATCAGGAGCTGGTTCTTTGAAAGAATTAACAAAATTGATAAACACCTAACCATTTTGATCAAAAAGAAAAAGGAAAGGACTCAAATAAATAAAATCACAAATGAAAGAGGGGAGATCACAACCAACACAGCAGAAATACAAACATTAATAAGAGAATATTATAAGCAATGATATGCCAACAAATTAGGCAATCTGTAAGAAATGGACAAATTTCTGGAAACATATCAACTACCAAAACTAAAACAGGAAGAAATAGAAAATTTGAACAGACCCATAACCAGCAAAGAAATTGAATTAGTAATCAAAAATCTCCCAAAAAACAAGAGTCCTAGGCTGGATGGCTTTCCAGGGGAATTCTACCAAACATTTAAAGAAGAGTTAACACCGATTCTCTTGAAGCTGTTCCAAAAAATAGAAATGGAAGGAAAATTTCCAAACATTCTGTGAGGCCAGCACTTCATTACCCTGATTCCAAAACAAAGACCCCACTAAAAAGGAGAGCTACAGACCGATTTCCCTGATGACCATGGATGCAAAAATTCTCAACAAGATACTAGCAAACCAGATCCAATAATACATTTAAAGAATTATTCATCACAATCAAGTGGGATTTATTCCTGTGATGCAGAGGTGGTTCAATGTCCACAAATCAATCATGGTGATACATGACATTAATAAAAGAAAGGATAAGAAGCACAAGATTCTCTCAATAGATGCAGAGAAAGCATTTGACAAAATACAGCATCCTTTCTTTTTAAAATTTTTTTAATGTTTATTTCTGAGAGAGAGACAGAACATGAGTGGGGGAGGGGCAGAGAGAGAGGGAGACACAGAATCTGAAGCAGGCTCCAGGCTCTGAGCTGTCATCACGGATCCCGACGCGGGGCTCAAATTCACAGAATGCGAGATCATGACCTGAGCCGAAGTCGGATGCTCAACCAACTGAGCCACCCAGACACCCCCAAAATACAAAATACTTTCTTGATAAAAACCCTCAAGAATATAGGGATGGAAGGATCATACCTCAAGTTTATAAAGCCCATATATGAAAGACCCACAGCTAATATCATCCTCAATGGGGAAAAACAGAACTTTCCCCCAAGGTCAGCAGAAGTCTCCCACTATTGCATGAGGGTCACAAAATTCTCTGGCACAAAACTTGTCAGAGATACAAAGCAAAGTTGACAACTGTGAGGACAGAAAACTTCCCTGCTCCCCCACAATGAGACCAAAAAGAGCAAAGTAGCAAGCACTAGAACTCTGCCAGAGGAGAGGCAGGAGCCTACAGAGAGCCTGGCTGGGTTGTGCAGGCACACAGGAAGGCCAGACACTAAGAGTGGAGTAGGAACATTGAAGAAAAAACCTCCATGACCCTGCAGAGACATAGAACAACACCAGAGGGATGTAAACCAGTGAGGGAGTAAAGGCACAAACAACAAAGCAACAACAAAGCCCAAACCCAGGGGCACCTGCTGGCTCAATGGAGCAGGGGACTGTTGATCTCAGGTCAGAGTTGAAGCCCCATGTTAGGTGCAGAGCCTACTTAAAAAAAAAAAAAAAAAAAAAAAGTCTCAGGCTCCTGAGTAGCTGCATCATTAAGCATCTGACTTTGGCTCAGTTCATGATCTTACAGTTCATGAGTTCAAGCTCTGCATTGGATGAGCTCAAGCCCCACTTCTTTCTCTTTCTCCCTCACTCTCTCTCCCTGTGCCCCTCCTGGGATTCTCTCTTTCTGTCTCTGCCCTCGCTCACTTGTGCCCTTTCTGTCTCTCTCAAAAACAAAAACAGAACCAAAAACTCAATTCCTGGTGATTAACCACACACACGCCCCAGTTGCCTAGCAGAATAGGCATCCCCATTTCCTGGCATAAGTCCTATTTGCCTCACTAACCACCATTGTAAACATAAAGTTTAGCATTCAGTCAAAAATTAACAAACACCAAAAAAGTGAGGAAAGATGCTCACTGTCAAGGGACAAAGCAGGCAGCAGACACAGACCCAGAGGTGACTCACACACTGGAACTCTCGTGCAGATGCTTTAAGTGGCTGTGACTAACGTATTAAAGGTTCTAGGGGGAAGGGAGGCAGGTACACAAGCTGCAGCCTCTTTCTGCTGGAGGAGAGTCCCAGGCAGCTGGATGCTACATGCTGCCCTCACAAGGTGTCAGCGCCTGTCCTGGGGTCCCAGGCAGCACACCAGCAGAAAAGCCACAACTGCTGGGGTCATGTTCAGACAAGCTATCGCTCCATATTGGAAAAAAGGGATACCAGGTAGAGATTAAAGTGAACTCCTATCAAATATTGTATATAAAATTTAGTGCCAAATTACTGTGATTAAAGATTAAATATGAAATAAAATATATAAAGCTTCTGAGAGATTATATAAAAATATTTTCTAACCTCAGGGTAAGGAAATATTTCTTAGAGCACATGGAACATGATCCAAAGAGGAGAAAAATAATGAATTTGACTATATCAAAATTATAAACTTGTCTTTGTATCAAAACATGATTAAAACAAGGAAAAAGGCATGATGTGAGAGAATATTTAGAACACGTACAAGAAGGACTCATATTGGGGCACCTGGGTGGCTCAGTCAGTTGGGCTCTGTGCTGTCAGTGTGGAGCCTGCTTGGGATTCGCTCTTTCCCTCTCTCCCCCTCCCCAACTCACACTGTCTCTGTCTCTGTCAAAATAAATGAATAAACTTAAAAAAAAAGAAGAAGAAGGACTCATATTACAGTATATAAATAGGGGCACCTGGGTGGCTCAGTTGGGGTTGAGCCTCCGGCTCTTGATTTCCACTCAGGTCACGATCCCAGGGTCGTATGTTGGACTCTGTGCTGGGCATGGAGCATAGAGAGGCTCGCTCGTTCGCTCGCTCTCTCTCTCTCTCTCTCTCTGCCCCTCCCCCACCTCTCTCCCATCTCTCTCAAAATAAATAATCACTTTTTTTTTTTAAAGCAATGGAATACAGTTACATATTCCTCAGAAAGACACAGGTTTAACAGTGGGGGATGCCAGGCCTTGGTAATGGTGTGCAGCGGTGGGAGCCCCTCCCGCAGTGCCTTTGGGGTGTGAGTGGGTGCAGTCGCTTGAGGAAATGTCCTGCCATCATCCGATAGGTTGAACATGAACAGACCCTACAAGCCAGTAATTTCCCTTCCAGATACATGCCCTCGAGGAAGCCTGCACGTGTGCATCAGGAGACATGCAGAAGTATACAGAGATCATCATTGTTTTTGGAAGCCCCAAACTGAAAACACCTAAATGTGGAATACCCACGTGCCGCTGTTCAGCAAGGAAAATGAACAAACTGCAGCTACACACATCATCATAGATGATTCTAAACAATATAATTTGGGGCAAAATAAGGCAAATCACAGCACAAGAGCAACAAGTCAGGAGGAGTTAAGATGACAGA